TACTAGTATGGCCCTCATGTTGAGAGGACTGTTTCATCCCCAAACAAAGAAAGCTAGCTGTACTTCCCTATCAGCTTAACTCAAAGTTAATGGGAGGCTTTCTTCCAAATTGTACACTAGGTAAGCTTACCTTCTGGGAACTCATAAATTCTCTCATAGCTGAATCTCTTGCAAGACAAATCTGAGGTATACATGACCTCCAGGCAGTGCAAGTGTGGTTGAGCTGGCTGAAGTAATGCTAGGAATGACAGTAACACTAATAACCATAGCAACAGCCACAGAGCAGCATCTGTGGACAGCTATAGTGTACCTACTGTGTGCCTGCACTGATAAAGGCAGCATTTTTTAATCCCTTTAAAGGAAATGAGTCTCAATGAGGCTTATAACTTATCCAGCCTCATAGAGCTACTGAGTGATTGCCCAGGAATTTCAACCAGCTGATGGTCCACACTCAACAAGGAGACTGCTTGTGGCTGGATACTTTCAGGTTTTTGCACACATTTGTTTTGCCCATCACTTCCTGAGCTGAAGCAGCTTTTCAAACTGCCCCCAGCCTTTAGGATAAAGAACACCACCCTCCCCAAGGGCTGACAGAACGCACATGCATAAGCTGCTAACTTAGATGCCAAAAGAACAAAAATCCATAGGAACAGAAGCCACCAAAGCAAAAGGGTAAGGGAAAGGCAAAGAATGAATGGTGAAAGACTGAAAATACTGAAGCCAAGTGAAGTATGTAAGAAGGTTCATTCCTACTACTGCAGACATTTGAAAGCTTTTAAAATGCAAAGTCTGATAATGGGGACTCAGGAGATAGTTTAGTTGGTAAAAATGCCTGTTGCACAAGCATAAGGACCTGAGTTTGATCCTAGAACCCAGGTTTAAAAGGCAAGTAGGCTGGGCACACTACCCCTAACCCCATTTAGAGGAAGCTTATGGGCCAACCAGCCTAGCAAATGAGAACCCTTGGGGAAACAAACAAACAAACCAACCAACCAACCAAAGTGAACAGTGTCTGAGGAACTAAACCCAAGGAAACACACACACACACACACACACACACACACACACACACACAGAAAATGCTTCACTTTACTGGCAGTGTATTACTGAATTTCCTAAGCATTGGTTTTATAAGGTCAGCCGTACCTTACATGGTTCAAATTCAAAAGTGCTAAAAGAGTAACATTAATGTCTAACTCCTGTGTGGCTAAACTCCCTGTATCTATGCATAAAGTCAGGGTGATTCTCAGTTTTCCCCACTTCTTACACAAATGCCACACTGTCTATCACCTTGATTTATGCACTTAACCAACAGTGAGCTTTTCCTTCTCCTTTGGAGTGACTGAACAGGTATTCTGTATTACGGATATACCATATACACTACACTTCAGACACTACAGTTCCATCTCAGATTTTGCTTTCACAAACAAATATTCCAAGAAATTATCTGAGCATGGTGGTACATGCCTATAATCCCAGTACTTGGGAGGCAGGGGCAACAGGATTGTCACAAATTCAAGTCTAGGCTACACCCCCTTCCAGAAACATCTCCAACAAATAAACTTAGGTCTCTAACACTCTAAACATTCACAGGAATAGCTGGAGGGCAGACTCCTAGCAGAGCGATAATTGTGCTCATAAATGATTAATAACTCCCACTCAGACAGATGTGTTGCAGACTCCAGAGATGCACACACTCCCACCACAGCTGACCAGAGTCAATCCACATGGTGTCAGTGATTGCAGGGTTGGGGAGAGATGTGTGTGGGTGGCTTCTATAACCCGCCTCACACCTCGCTTGGTTACAGAGACAAAGGCAAACTGCACTCCTAGTAATGAAAGACAGTATCATATTCCTCTCCACCGTGGATGTCACTCTTTGTACTGCTACTAACAGTGTATTAACCTTTGGCTTTGTGGTATAGGTGTCTCAATACTGTTTTAAGCTGAATTCTCTAGTTGTGACTATGAGTGTTTTGTTTTTTCCCTCATATAAACTCCACTCCTCCCTGTGCTCACTACACTGCTTTTGTCCACTGTCCATTTTATTGGCTGGTCTAAGCATTTCATATGTGTGTGTGTGTGTTCATATGTATATGTATGAAATAACATGTATATATAGTGTTTATATATTTTATATACATATATAATAGGTATTACAACACCCCTGCATGCAGGGTAGGTTCATGTTTCATGTGACAAGAAACAATTTGAACACTATCAATAAGCAATGTAAAATTATGAATGCAAAATGTCTGTACAAATATATCTCTTTACAACTAAAGGAAATGTGTACCAGGGCCAGCAGGATGGTTCAGTTATTAAAGGTGCATGCCCTTCAAACCTGGCAAGCCCAAATTTGATCTCCAGAAATCATGTAAAGATGGAAGCAGAGAACCAACTCCACCAAGCTATCCCCTGACTCCCACACATGTATAGTGCTATGAATACACACACAAACACACACATACACACACAATTTAAAACTAATTAATTCTTAGAAGTCATAAAGATCCTAGCCATTATTTTCTAGAATCCTTTCAGACAGTTTAACAGAAGTGTTTACATGGAAAGAAAGAAAAAAGCCTCAAAATGGCCCTCAGTCCACACAGAACACTGCAGTTCCCAGAGTCTACTGAATCCATAGACACCTGAGTCTTTTTTATTATTATTTCACTCTATATGTATGGATGTTTTGCTTGTATGTATGTCTATGTGTGCCTGGTGCCTGTGGAAGCCAGAAGAGGGCATTAGACCCCATAGCTTGGAGTCATCACAAAGGTGCTAGGACTCACACGGCCGTCCTCTGGAAGAGCAACCAGTGCTCCTAACCACTCTCCTAAGTGTTCCTAAGACCCATCTCTCCAGTCCCCAAAACCTGGGTCTTAAGGTGCAGTAGCTACAAAGGAAAACAGTATATGACTATTCAACAAGCATTATCATCCACCTCACAGATGAGAAAAGTGAGGCTAAAAGATACAATATCCACACAGTGGATGTCATTCAGGATACCAAAGCCTTTGGACTTAAGTGATACACAAAGTTACTTCCTGATACCTTAAACCAACAATACTTGACCAAATCTACCTTCTTTACAATATCACTTACATATACATTCTCTAAGGGAACACACATTCGATTTGAAAAACAAAACTTTCATTAGTATCTTCAAATGTCTTCTGCCCTTTAAAGGAGAAAATTAAAAGTTGCTCTTTACGTATGAAAATACAGAGGCCAAGGTCTGTACCCTGCTCGTCCCACCCTCCATACTCTCACTGGAGGGTCCACAGTTCAAGCCTTAAGGCTGAGGATGGAACTCAAAGGGGAAGTATAATGATAAATCTTTCCACCAGCCGCCCAAGCCCAGCTGCCACGTGGGAGCCCAAAATAGCACAGAGAGACTTATATTAGGTACAATGCTGCTGGCTAATGACTAGGATTTCTTACTTGCTAGCTCAGTCTTAATTATCAACCATAACTATTAATCTATATATTTTATAAAGACTTATCAAGGACTCTGGTGAAATGCGTCCTCTTCCCAAGATCACATGGCGACTCCACAGAGAGGAGGAAGAAGAGTGCTCTTTCCTGCTTGTCCCTGCTTACATTCTGAGTCTGCCTGCTATGTCACTTCCTGCCTGGATCACAAGACTTCTCTTTACTACATTTCCCAGAATCCTCAACTCCTAGTCCCAGCTATCTTGCTTCCCTATTGGCCAACAGTACTTTATTTATCAACCAATAAGACAAACATATACACAGAAGGACCGCTCTCATCAGGGAAGCACCTGCATACTATTCAAAAGACCTCACATTTGATCCAGAACCCCAAAATTTAAAAGTCTAGCTTCTGTATTAGACTTTGTTTCCTACTGAACTCCTCTACTTCTCTTTTTAAATTATTTTTAACTTTTTAATGTAGTTTATTTTATGTGAATGAATGTTTTGCCTGCATGTATATCTGTATACCACATGTGTACATGGAGCCACAGAGGACAGAAGAAATCATTGGGTTCCCTGAACTATAGTTATAGTTGTTTTTGAGCCACCATGTGGATGCTGGGAACCAAACCTGTGTCCCCTGAAAGAGCAGCCAGGGACCTTAATCTCTGAGCCATCCCTACAGATCCTGGATTATCTGCTTCCTAGTAACTCTAAATCGTCAGGTATACCTGTAAAAAGACCTTTGTTTAGAATAAAGTGCTATGGTCAATTTTGGTTCAATCTCTCCCAACACAGAATTCTTTCTATAACTCGAAATGAAGCCAATTAAGCTAATCCATCAACCAGCATGAGACAAACTTCAACACTCTACATAACAGAAACCATGTCCATGATTCTCACAGTGCAAGCAATGGAAGACAGAAGGCTGAACACTTGGGAATGGCAGGAACCATTCCATTACAGGAAAGAACCATCCAGCCAAAACCAGTTCTGCAGAGAGATGGTGTTGACTAAAAGTGAGGCTGGGGCTGACCTGCAAGGACCTGGGACAAAACGAGAGAAAATATGGATGTGCTACCTTCCATGCCAAGGCTTTCGGGTACTCTGATAACTCAAAACAACAAAATGAAAGGAGCCAAGCATAGGACAGGCTCACCTGATGTGGTCACTCAATAGCATACAGAAACCAAAGGTTCCTAAACAAATGCATATAATGTTTTAAAATTTCAAACTCAATCAAAACCAATTTTACAAATGATTTTTCTGGCAGGTATGTAAACATCTTTATTCAATCTGAAAGGGAGAGAAGCTATTCAAGTAGAAACTGAAAATCAGACCATTATAAAAAGGTTCTGTGCTAAAACAGCATTATTTTTCAAGAGAACTAGCCAAGATTATCCAGGCTCCAGTCCCAAGAATTTTGCAAGGGCATGTCTATTAGAGCAGGGCAGCCCAAACACACTCTTAAAAGGTACTATTTCGTGGAAATCATTCTTTATTCCTTAAAATGTAACAGTCCTGTGAACACAGGAAGTTTTCATCTTTTACAGCTTTACCTGCTATTTGTACCGAACCATCCTCACCCAGAAGAATATTTCCAGCTTTCAAATCCCTGTTAGGAAAAAAAACAAAGCAGAGAATATATCATGAAGCATAGATTATATATTACACTGACTCAGTCCGGAAGATTTTAACACACGGCACACAAGCCAACTGCCTGACACAATCATTATATTGTGAATATTAAAGTCACGTAGCAGATTTTAAAAGTTCTAAGTGCACACTGTCATTTTATACTTTACTCCCGAGGCACAGTTAGGGTTTTAATAACAAATATTTTATGTGAATCCATTATCTGCATTTAATTAAATCACCACTAAGGAGACCATTATATGTTTCAGAGTTAGTGATTAACCTTAAAGCCTAGACAAGACTGCCATATTTTTCAAGAAGTAAATTCTTGTCTAAGTCCAACTATTCTGCTTCCACTCAGAGCTGCCTGTGGCACAATTCCAAACAGTCCCACAGCCCACTTAAAATGAATGTGATCAGTCTCTCCTATAGGGTGATACCAAGGCTAAATGTTAATTATAATATTCCATGTGATATTTCTTCACTATATGAAATTCTGTGGAGCAAATTTAATCTTTAAAGAAAGTGATAATCAAGAAACAATATTAAAAAATATGGTACAGATCATTAAATATATAGCTCTCTTGTAGTTCTACTTTGAACAATGTTATTATTAGTATTAGGGTAAATAATTGTCTGCTTGTAACATTCCTAAGAGTGCAAGTAACTCTGTTGCTTTTGAAGCATAGGGCACTCAAATTCCCTTGGCTCCTCAGCTTCAAAGCTTAGCATTCTATATTACAGAAGAAGTTGTCAGTGCTGCCTCCCTCCCTCTCACCACAAGGCTCCAAACTGTTAACATAAAACGAAACAGTCTTGCTTTCCTTAGGAAGAGGGAGATGCCATCCAGTTCAACCAAAGTACACTTGAAGAGCAATTATGTTAACTAATTCCTTAATGAGCCCACACAGCACTTACTACATTTGCTCTATTTCAATTTAACCACTTAAACCAGGATACCAGAGAAATGCATCCAAGTTCATTCTTTGGAGTTTTGTTTTGCTTTTAAGCGTTACTTTGGAGTAATACAAAAAAAAAAAAAAAAAAAAAAAAAAAAAAAAAAAAAAAAAAAGGCCAGGACTGGAGAGATGGCTCAGTGGTTAAGAGCACTGGCTGCTCTTTCAATGGACCCAGGTTCAATTCCCAGCACCCACAACTGTCTCTTACTTCAGTTTCAGGGGATCTGACACCTTCACACCAATACACAGAAAATAAAGTTAACTAAATTATTAAAAAAAAAAAAAGCCCATCTGTAGCAAATACGTCCTTGAAATTCTTTACAAACTGGATCTATATATTATGAAGAGCAGACTGTACAGAAATCATAACCATACCTGTGGATCTGACCATTTCTGTGCAAATAGTCTAAACCTTCTAAAACCTCCTTGAGAATTGTTGCGATTATTGCCTCTTCCAGAACACCATTCTTGTGCTCTCCTCGATTGACAATGTATTTGATGATATCCAACATGGAACCTGATTGGACAGACAGAATTGGCAGGATTATTTTCATAAGCATCTCCATCCCTTTTAATATTAAGAACCCTCTACTATGGCAACACTAGATAAGACCATCAAAAACAGAATCTGTTTATTTACTTTCGATACTCCCAAGGTATAATAATAAGAGTCAAATCTCACTCCCAAGGCTAGAAACACTATGTCTATTAGTAAGTTGGCAAGAACACATTCAGTGTGAAGTTGAGAAGAATTCTCATTAAAAGTCAGGGAGGAGAGAGCTCTGTGGAAAGGGCTCAGCACTGACCGATGATTTTCCAGAGGACCCTGGTTCAGGGCCCACTGCCGCCATCACTGGGTGGCTCACAACGCCTTTAACTCCAACTCCTTTATGGATCCAATGCCCTCTTCTGGCCTCTGCAGGCCCCCACATACACACAGCCAACACAGATAAACACATACACACAAATAATAACAATAATAATAATAATAATAATAATAATAATAATAATAATGCTAAGAAAAAGGGCTAGGGGACCCAGGAACTAGGGAGCAGTGATAAAGTATGTGATCAGTTCTGTGACTGCAAGGCTGTGACAATTAAAATTCATTATCAAACTCACTGTACTGAGAAATTCCTACGAGTGAGTAAGGCACACGTCTGCTGTATCTATGAGGGTACTTCCAGAGTGACTGGCATGTGGAACAGTAACTTAGGGAAAAAGACCTGTTTGTCCCCAATTATGGACAGTGTCTTCAGATAGGCTGGGGCTCAGAAAGACTAAATGTGGAAAAGAGAAAAACCACCAACATGCCTAAGTTCCACCTTCTGGGTGAGCAGGTCTACTGCAGCTGCTGTCCCACAGACACCAGCTTTTCAGTGCAGATTGGCAACAGTGACTCTGTATGGAACCTCCAGGTCTTAAGCCTCAGATGAAGGCAACATCAAAGGAACCCTGCCTCTAAGGCTTCTGGCTTCATGGACTGACCAGTTGGTGACAGGTTCTCTGCCTCTCCACTGTACAAACAGCCACCAGTGGACCATTCAGCCTCCAATCATTTAAACCAATGTTCCTTTTCTAATTACATATATGTATATAAAACATACACTATCCCCAGTATTTCTGTTCCTCTAGAGAATCTTGACTATTACAAAGGGCCTATGATGGATCCCAGCACATATTTTTTTAATTTTTTTAATTATAAAGTACCTGCGGGGATGGGGAATTGAGCTATCTCAACAGTAAGGGCACTTGCTACCAAGACTGACAACCGGATTTTGTTCACTGGGACTCACTCACATGGTAGAAAGAAAGAAGTGATTACTGCAAGGTCTTCTGACTTCTATATGCATGTCTGTGCTAAGGGTAACACACACACACACACACACACACACACACACACACACACACACACACGAAAAAAACAGTTAATGTAAAGTTTAAAAGCTAGGTGTGGTCCCCAGGTGCTCAGGAGGCTGGAATGGATGGTTGTCTTGAGTCTAGGAGTTCAGAAACAACTTGGACAGCACAGTTTTTAAAATAATAATAATAATATAAATATATCTACTAAAAGGATATGAAAACATATTTGTTTAAAGAAGTAAACAAGTGAAGTCAGAACCAAACATTGTTCAGGGGAGAGGAAAGACAGCAGAGAACCAAGAGGAAAGAGTAGCAGTCCTACCTCAAAGCTGGGAGGCAGAGCAAACATGGTGCCTCCACGCAACTACCCATAACCCCAAGATTCATTTGTGAGACTCTAAGCTACTTTGATTTTCATTTTATGCTTTATGCACAGGCTTTTCTAATATTTTGATTGTGAACCTAGCCTTTAATGGCTGAGCTATCCCTCCAGCCTTTCTAATAAATAAATACCTAGTGCTTAGTTACTATATAGAGATTGGTATCCTAGGCACTATGAATTCATGTTTCAACACATGGTAATTAATATTCTGCACCTCTGGATCATTTTTAAGGCTATAATTACCTGGAGATTCAACATTTCTGAGGAGTTAACAAATGGCTTACCTCAGGACCTGAGTTTGGCTCTAGGCTCTTTATGATTAACTAAGAGAATTGAGTCTTGCCATCATATGATGTTGTACACCAAAAGAGCTAGCTGTCTGCCCCTCATTAGGAGATTTCATGTGGTCAAACATCATAGAAGAAAATACATGTAAATTTCCCTCCTCAGAGAAGAGAATGCATCTGTCTATGCATCAGTTCTTAGGTTTTCGGGTCATTTAGAAAAAATGGTGACGCTAAACATTGTTTGCTTTATTCTTAAAAGTATGTAACATAAGTGGCAGATAGGTATTTCTAGCCTTCTAAAAGAAAATGAGCACGAGTCCTTATCTGTCCACATTCCCCTCTCCCATGCAAGCCTGCTGTCCACCTATTATCTTACCTTTCACAGCCCTGTTTGGAGACTGGACTGGACTCTCAAACAGACAAAGTATTTTCTATCTGGTCCTCAAAACAGAAACCAGGGATGTTCTCAAGTTTATGAGAGGGAGAGTTTACCTGAGTTGAACTCTTCAACTGGGACAGAGAACCTGAGACTTCCAGGGGTCCAGGTCACCAGAACTCATCATTTTCTCAGAGGGAGTAGAGCCCATGAGACTCTCTGCCTCGATTGCTTAAGATCATCTCATTGACACAGCACGAGAGCTACTAGAAGAGTGAGCACTCTGGAGCTCAGTGCTACAGTGTGGCTCTATGGGCTTCCTCTGCCTTTTCTTTTTCCCTTTTTATTGCAAACTAAAGAAAGCACTTAAAAAAGCAGAGATGTGTTCCCTAGAAGCTCCACCCATGTATACTCAAGTCAACTACAGAGACTTGGCATCTCATCTATGGGCCTCTGCCTGATAAGAGGGTTTCTTTAAAATGAATTAATTACAATACATCCCTAATTTAGTCTTGGCTGGAACCTGCTCTCAAGATCCAACCACAATAGTGTTGGCTCTACAGAGTCACCACAGAATTGTTTCCTGCTCCCAAGACATCCTTCCTGACCAGAGTTTTATACAGAGAGAGACAGCACAGAGAGCATGTAGGCCTTCAGAGAAACCATGCAGGCTTTGCGACCCTCAATGTCCAGGACTGTAAGACAGAGAAAACACTTGAAATGTGGCACAGTTTTATTTGGGTTTGGTTGCTGTTTTTTTGGTTTTTGTTTGTTTGTTTTTCAGGACAGAGTTTCCCTGTGTAACAACCCTAGTTGTCCTGGAACTAGCTCTGTAAACCAGGCTGGCCTTAAACTCACAGAGATTTGCCTGCCTTTGCTAGGATTAAAGGCATGCACTACCACAGTCCGGCATGACACAGTTTTCTTTTTGGTTGTTATTGTTGTTTTTATTTTTTGTAAATGATATATATATATATATATATATATATATATATATATATATATGAATGCTCTGTTTGCCAGCAGAGGGCATCATATTCTATTATAGCTGGTTGTGAACCATCATGTGGTTGCTGGGAAATGAACTCAGGTCCTCTGGAAGAGCAGCCAGTACTCTTAACCACTGAGCCATCTCTCTAGCCCCTGGCACAGTTTTTAAAGCAGCATTTTCCACTAGTAGCAATAGTTAGTGTGTGAAGGAGTTAGAGACCTGGGACACACTGCCTAAGTACCCGTGAGCTTCAGTGCAGCTTCCACAAACAATGGGGATGGTGATAACATGAAGGATGCCGAGATGGGATGAGACAAGTAAGTGAACTGTCTTGAACAGGATGAAGTCACAGCGTAAGTATCCAAGGATATTAGTGGTTATCATTTTCATTCCCTCTCTGGTGCTGATATTGAGGTGCTGAGGATTTTGTTGTTTTGTTTTGTTTTTTGTTTCTTCAAGTAAAATCATGGATGTGAGAGAGCTTTGTAAAGTAAACTATCACTAACTTGAGAGAGCTCTTCCCAAGAGCAACAGGATGAGAATGATCCCACTTTGTGCCAACACCGAACACCAGTTTCTGCACTGACCAGTATCACAGCCTCCAGCCACCACAGATGACTTAAAATTGTGAAGAAATGGGACAGAAATTTCCACTGCAGCACACCAGCCACCATGCAAGTGCTCAAGAGTCCATAGCACTTTTCGTTGTCACAGGACACAACATGATAAGGGCTTGAATTGTGTTTAAAGGACTTTAAGGAGGAAGGACTGCACTGAGGTGCAGCTTAGTGCTAGGGGACTTGTTCCACATGTGTAAGGCCCCGAGTTTGAACCTCAGCAACACACACACAGACAAAACAGACACACAGACATACACACACACTGGCCAGTGATTCTGAAAAGAGTAAATGGTGACTACAGAAAGAATGTGATTGTGTAGGGAAAGGAGAGACATCTAAGGCAGAAGCCAGGCACAGGACAGGGAAGTACTAGAGGTCTCTGAGAACATATGCCAGGATAATGGGTATCACCTAATCTAGAAGGTGGGGACACTTCCTACATGGAGAAGGGGATACAAAAACACTAGGACATTAAACCCAATCATAAAAGGCTTTGAATCATTAAGAAATCTGTCCCCCTGCCGGATGGTGGTGGCATATGCCTTTAATTCCAGCACTCAGGAGGCAGAGATGGGCAAATCTCTGTGAGTTCAAGGCCAGCCTGGTCTACAGAGTGAGTTCCAGGACAGCCAGGGCTGTTACCCAGAGAAACCCTGTCTCAAAAACAAAAAAAAAAAAAAAAAAGAAAGAGAGAAAAAAGAAATTTGGTCTTTTCAAACCAAGAACTGAAGGGCATAAAGTCTAAAATCGTATTCTGCATGATGACTCGCACCAAACAAGGGAAAACAAAAACAAGCAACAACGAAACTCACTTACCTCCACTTAGTAATTTCATGACCAGCCAAAGTTCATCTTTGACCACAAAGGAAGTGTAATAAGTCACTACGTTGGGGTGGCTGCACTGGCTCATGGCTTGAATTTCTTTCTGTAATAAATAAAAAAGAAAGACATGATACAGCACTGTAGTCAGCCTGCCCTTTGTCACTCCCTTTGGTTGTCAGGACACTGATACAATGGCCCCCAAGAAATTATAGTTCCGCCAGCAATCTCCTCCTCAGAGAAGAAAAAGCTAGCAAAACCTGGGCAAGGAGGAATTTGTCCCAGAGACTGATTCTCGGCTTTTCAGAAGACCTTGCAGGAGGGACTCCTGGAGCTGAGACAACTGGTGGGCAGCTGGAGGAGGACACTTGGGTCAGACTGCTTGGTTATGCATCCCTCTTACTAGTCACAGGACACAGGGACTTCAGCCCAGTGCATTACTCAGATGACCCTCCTGCTGCCAGTCTAGACCTGCAACATGGAACTAAATACTGCTTGCCTGAACTACAGGCCTCATCAATGAGAGACAGATGAGGAGCCAGAGCAAGCTACAAGGAGAACTGGGTCTCCCTGACTAGCTTCAACTCTAGTGGGTCACAGCTCCACCCATGTCCAAAAGGAGACAAAACTGCCTCTGTTGCTGCAGTGTGATAAATGGGGAAATGCCAGCCTACCGTTTCCCAAACTATGCCCCAGTGGATACTCCTCCAGAAAAAAAAAAGGGGGAGGGGGGGTGTTGACGGGGGCCTGCAGATAGGCAAAGTAAAACAAGCTCGGGAAACATCAGATACAATGTCTCACTCTGAAAGAGATTCTGGCAATTGGAGCAGTGTTGTTGTTGATTCTAAGGCCTCCAGTACATTAACTGTCCACTTAGCTAAAACAGCAGAGAAGCAACGCTTTGCAGTTCAGCTGGCCAGACTGCTACAGAGAACAAAGTTTATGTGATTGCATAAAAATGACAACGCTTTTGAATAAAACACGTGAAAAACTTCAATAAAGCTCATTTTCCTGCACTGCTCCAGTTCACACTGGTTTTGCTTTGGTGTTTAAAGTCATGACCATAATAAATGCATAGCTCATAAAGTTGAAGTGCCATTCACTTCACAGGACGGTCCAATGGCAAACACACCCCGTTGGTCACCAAAGCAGCCTCATACATGCTGTTGCACAGTCATTGTGAAAGAAAGGCACATCTCGTAGCATTCAACCACAAATATTCTATTATGCACTTCTAGTTAACTTTAGAGTTAACCGGGCTGCCCACCTGGCACTTTCTAGTTTGGGCGACTATTATACATATCTACCATTATTACCTAATCCTCAAATTACTGCACCTCAAATAACCTGGCCCAATAAAAACAGACAGGTAGGCCACTGGAATTGAAGACCCTGATACAACCCACACATCTATGAACATCTAATTTTTGACAAAGAAGCTAAAAATACAAAATGGAAAAAAAGAAAGTATATTCAACAAATCGTGCTGGCATAACTGGCTGTTAGCACGTAGAAGCACACAACCATCCACACTGAACCTCATAGAAGAGAAAGTGGGAAATACACTTGAACACATAGGCACAGGAGACCACTTCCTAAATAGAACTCCAGTAGCATAGACACTGAGATTGACAATTAATAACTGGGACCTCCTGAAACTGAGAAGCTTTTGTAAAGAAAGCAAAGATCAAGGTCAACAAGACAAAAACGGCTCCCTAAAGAATGGGAAAATATATTCACCAAACCCACATCTGACAGAGGACTGGTCTCCAAAATATACAATGAACTGAAGAAAGTAGACATGAAACTAACTACCAAATATTCCAGTTAAAAATAGGGTACAGAACTAAACAGAGAATTCTCAACAGAACAATCTCAAATGGCAAGAAGACACTTAAGGAAATGCTCAACATCCTTAGTCATCAGAGAAATGCAACACAAAACCACTCTAAGATTCCATCTTACACAGATCAGAATGGTTAAGATAAAAAAAAAAAAAAAAAAAACAATGACAGCATATGCTGGAGAGGATGTGGTGAAAGGGGAACACTTCTCCATTGCTCGTGGGAGTGCAAACTTGTACAGCCACTGTGGAAATCAGTATGGCAATTTCTCAGAAAACTAAGGATCAACCTACTACCTCAAGACCCTGCAATACCACTTTTGGGCATATACCCAAAGGGGGCACATTCACACCACAAGGACATTTGCTCAGCTATGTTCATAGAAACATTATTTGTAATAGCCAGATCTTGGAAATAAACTAGATGACCCTCAACTGAAGAATGGATAAAGAAAATGTGGTATATTTACACAATGAAATACTACTCAGCGTTAAGAAACAATGACATCCTAAAATCTGCACACAAATGGACAGAACTAGAAAAGAATCCTGAGTGAGGTAACTCAAAACCAGAAAGATAAATATAGTATGCACTCATTCATAAGTGGATACCAGACATAAAGCAAAAGATATCTAGCCTACAACCCATACCCCATAGAAGCTTTAACCCTCTTCCACAAACAGATGGATGCAGATGCAGAAATCCACAACTAACCAATGGGCCAAGCTCCTGGAGCACAATCGAAGTGAGGGAGCAGCAAAAATGTGAACCAAGGAATCAAAACCATGATAGGGAAATGCACAGAAACAACTGACCCGAGCTAATCAGAGATCACTGATTCAGGTCTGACAAATGGAGAATCTGCATAAGACCAAACTAGATTCCCTTAATATAGGTGACAATGGTATGACTGGAACAATATATGAGGCCACTGGCAGTGGGTCCAAGATCTAACTCTAATGCACAAACTGACTTAGTGGAGCCCATTCTATATGGAGAGATACTTTGCCCAGCCTAATCATGGGTGTGGGGGTGGAAAGGTGCCTTGGTCCTGCCTCAACTAGATGATGAGACAGACTTAGATTTCCTAGGAGATGCCTTACCCTCTCCAAGGAGATGAGAGGTGGGGTAGGGTGGGGAGGGAGTGAGGGGAGTGAGAAGAGAGGAGGGAGGGGTATAGGGATTGTAAAAGTTAAATAAATAATAAAAAACAACGAAGAAAAAAATAACTCAGCCAAAATACAGGAACATGTAACACAGGAACATATCTTAATACCTACCTATATTTAAAGCTCTTCCTGGAGCAAGAGCCTAAGAAACTCATTGACCTCTCTATTTTCTTTTTATCCTATGCAGACATTTTCCTTCCTCACTCCCCTCAGCCAGCTAGCTCATTTTCTAGGCCTGACAATTTGGACCAAGACCTGAGACCTAAGATCCAGGGTCATCTGTTTCTGGTATCAGGTTCTTTTGCCATGATACGCTTCTAGAGGAAAAACTCAACACATCCCTGGGCACTCCTTGTTCAAGTCAACCGAATCCAATGGGCAATGGGATACCTCCCCAACTCAGCTGACGTGATACAGCACGGAAACAGTATCTTGACTGCAGATATACTCTGAATTATCACCATACACTCATGTGACTGAATGCCTTCCCGGCCCCCTGCTGCCAGCCTTTCAGATTATCAACCAAAATGCAATGACTAACCAATGTTCACAAGTAAGGAAATTGTTTTTGCCTTGAAGAAAATTATGATTTTTAGCCCTCTGCACATAAATGG